ACGAATCGAGAGGATCGACATCAGGTGCGTTCGTTGAAGATAGTAGTAACCTGTTTATCATGCTTCCTGACTGATTGTGGAAGTTCGCTTTTGTTATTTTTCTCTTACTATTTGAAGTGCAATCGAGTGTAAACAGATCAGGATTTTGAATGTCAGTAATGTTAGACATATTTCTGGAAGAAATATCTTTCTCCACGATTGGTTTCTCCAGTGGTGGCCGGACTAAATTTTGCTGCTTATCTTCGTTATCCGGCCTCACGACTGCTTGAGTGGATGACTTCTGTTGATTATCTTTTAGTGGAATTTGGGAACTTTGCTGGGGAACTTTTTCCTGAATGAATATTGTTTTAAAATTTATTAAAAGTGTTGTTACATAAAATATTTATTAAATGAGCAGTTCAGTTATGTGTTATTTACAGATTGGTAGCATTATGGGACTTCTTCGTCTTAATTATAATTAACATTGATGAACAAAAATTTAACATTTTACAAACATCTTCCCACATCCATCATGAACAAACAAGCAAACCAAATTAATGATGCTCTCAAAAATTTGTGAATCTATTATTAACATAATTTATTTAATTTCATTGCAAATTAAATATTTTAAAAAATACATTCATAAAGTTATGGCAAGCCTAAATGTAGGTTCACTTCATCTATTAAAAAATTATTTAAATACATAACAGGACTAACCTCATATCAACTTTTTGTTTAAAGAATATTTCAAAAGCGCAAAAATCAACAAACACTATGTAACATTCCAAATGTTAATCAACAAATTTAATAAACTACGATATCGTTAACTAATGATAAACTAATTTTAAGATATTATAACTATTGATTGATTGATTGATTGATTGATTGATTGATTGATTGGATTGATTGATTGATTGGATTGATTGATTGATACAAAATGAAAACAAAATTCCAATGGATTCCAACCTCATTTGCATCTACAAGATCTTTAGAAGCAGCATCTTTCCTCAGTTGTTGCAGTGGATCATCAAACAACGGAAGTTTTTTAGGTAACGAATACTTGTTTTCATGGAAGCCATGTACTTTTTCAGCGATTGGTGTCGCGCTCAATACACCATCTGAAATAAATCATCTAAATAAAGTTTCAAAAATGAGAACTTATAAAATGTTTAGATGTGGGAGGTTATGATGTCGTCAATGTTATTCACCAACAGCGCGCAAACTCTTAACACAGTAAAAAAAATGGAACGAGATAGAACATGTATAGCATATGAGCGAGTCTGCGCCTTTCAACGAAACGCCATTTGGTTCAATCACAAATGCAAATGCAGATGCAAGACGAAAAAATGACATCATCACAAAAAATGTAACTGGTGAGACATATAAATGATTAAAACAGCCCAAAATAAGAGTAACATTTTTTGAGGACACTGAAGCAGTGGGCCAATATAACTTGGTAGCAGAACTTCAACTGCCTGTCATACTGGACGAAATATTTTCTTTGCAACCTCATCTGCTTAATGACGTCACAAACATCGATGACCCCGTGACCTCTATTTACTTCTTCCACACCTGTATAAATTACTGTGAAGGTACCTGTACGACCTGATCCATTGCTGGCCGGTTCATAAAAACAAACAACTTTAATATATAATCAAGTTTTTGTTTGAAAATACACGTGCAGATGAATTAAAAATTAGAAACAGCGACATGAATAACGATTGAGATGAGTTAGTCGCATGAAAGGTGACTGACCTGCAATGCACAACAATAGGCTTCATGATGTTTCTCTGCTGTAGATACAAGCAATGTACTTGGCTCATGAATTCCAACAATCCATCAACATTCGTCGGCTCAGCTCTGAACAATTAATTAGTTCATTCTCTTGTTTAGATTTAAAAAAACAAATCTGATCCAACGACGTAATGACTAAATTACTATTTTCGGTAATTATTTATTCATATTCATAGAATTAATCCCTCAAAATTTTTCTTAAGCTTTTTTGATAACCCATGCACACGCGACAGCCTATCCAACATTCAAATCTGCATCAACAAAGCACGAGAATATCAAAGCAGGTTACCTTCAAACCTGAAGATACAACGACATAAAAAGTTTGCTAATTACAGAATGAGTTTTAACCGGTCGTTGCATATGAAATCAATATAAGCGAATGACACGCACAAATAAATAAATAAAAAAAAAAGAAAGAAAGAAAGAAATAAAGACGTAAAAACAAACCCGGGAGGCCATTGATTGTATTGCAGATGCATGATTAATCTGGATAGGTGAGTTTGCTGGAAATAAAATTATTTGAACAATCAAAAAAACATTGAACATAAATAAGCATTCTTTATTAATAATAAAAAGTTTAGAAACATTGTAACTTGAACGTGTCGTAAATAGTCGTTAAATGAATGTAACAGTAAGAAGGTAACAGACCTTGTTATGAGTGAGATATATAATGCGTTCGGTCCAAGAAGATTTAATCTGTATGGAGTGAAGAGCCAGGTTGAAGCTTCCAATGTTCAGTGGCTGACTCTTGTCAACCGGCCAATATATATTATTCTGTTGTGGGAGATGGTTCACGACATTAACAATCCATTAAAGTAATAACGGCATCAATTATATACGGAGCTAAAAAATGAATGATGACATAAAATATTAACATTATATAGACAAAATAACAAGACATCATAACAAAAGCTACTCCTCCCTACCTTTCCAACAGTTTCGTTCTCATTGCACAGCATCACGACAATTTCAACATTGTAGTCGTACAACATTTGCCAGAAATCCGCAAAGGTTACAGGGAATGGTGACTGGGAGGCTATGATGTCCGGACAACCAGCTGACATACTCTGACGCGCAAACAACCATATTTATATAATTATTTTATAATAATTATTATAAAAGTAATTATAACTTATAACAGTAATTATAACATTTCAAATCAAGAAAACAAAACCTTGATGAGGCTAGCGTTGATGTAATCATCTGCAGATCCCAATAATTTAATTCTAGTGCTGTCAACTGCAGAATGTGATGATCAAAGGTTATGAAAACATTTTTTTCAAAACACATCAACCACAAAAAAAAACGAACAAACAAACAAAATAATTTGAAAATTGCTATTAAAACCGTTTGAAAGTAAACAATATAAAATTTTTATTAATCTAATAATGTGAAAGACCTAGTTAAAAATATTAACTAACTAGCGTCACATAAGTATTATTAGTTTCATAATTTGTTTCCAAGATAAATGCATAATGCATAATGGTGATATAATTTACAGAGAAAATTAAATTTTACGTTGATAACAACTTACGAGTGAAATTTAAATTAAATGTCTATGAACAACAAATCAGCAAATTTATATTTTAAAAAGTACATCCAAGCATACAAAAAAAGAGAAAAAGATGGAAAACACACATGGCATCATGTCAGGATGCTTGTTCTTGAGGGGGTAGCATCTCGCCACTGCCATTGAAAGATGCTTCGTTGACTTTTCCTGTTCGTCACTCAGCTCCTTCATTGAAATTGAAACATCAATATTTTTATAAATCGTTTAGTTAGCTTCTACTCATCAATTAAGTTCATCCAGGTGAGACCATCATAAAATCAGCACAGGTGATCAAAAAAATGATCGTGCAACAAATTATCCATCAACAACAGAATTCTGGTTTGCACACTGGGTAGATTATCAATCGACCCATCCAAAAAAGCTTATAAGCATAATTAAACATACAAAGTCATATTACTGACTGGCAACACATAAGAGCAACAGCAGCAGCATATTCATTAACTACCTTCCATTCCTTGTCAAGCAGCGTGTGCTTGTTCAGTGTGACCTTACAAAGTGCATCCACGTGTTTCATCAACTTCTCAGCGTGACTGCTCAGTTTGTTTAACGCCTCCTGGTTTGAAAAAGGATCCTTCGTGTTCAGCTTCAAATTTTTCCTTTCCTCTTCATTCTGTTGTCTCTTTATATCCTCAGGCGTCATGATCTTCGGCTGCAGAGGCTGTTGTTGGTTCGAGACGTTGTTCATGTTCAAATCAGTTGACAATATTTCGTCGAGGTTTGTCGATGAATTTTTTCTATTATGCTGGTTTGTATGTTGTTGAATGTTTCTCTTGTCATCTTGGTGTTGGTGCATTGTTGTAGTTGTTGCTGTTGATTGTGGATATCCTTCAGTTGGAATGTGTTGTGGTGGGAGTGTTTGTTGCGGAAGAGGTTGTTGCAGATGCACAGGCTGCTGTTGTGATTGAAGAGGTTGTTGTTGTAATTTTATTGATGACTGCAGCTGATGTTGTGATAGCAATGCATCTCCTGTTTGCTGCTGTTGTTGTGATTGTTGTTGTAATTGAACTGTAGCAACAACACCTTTGTTGGAAACTGCAGGAGAATAAAATGGCTGTAAATTGACGGCATCCATTTGTGGAGGTGTAGTGTCAAGTAATGAAGATCGTATGAATGATGACTGCTGCGGCGTTTGGAATGATTGTGGTAAAGTTGGTTGTTGTAACTGTGGCAAACCGAACCTTTGTTGACCAACGATGATTTTTTGTGAATTGAGTTTCTGTGCATTTAGTTGCTGTTGTAAGTAAGGTTGTTGTGAGGTGATTTGTTGCAAGTTAGATGAGAGTTGTTGTGAGTTAGGTTGTTGTTGTTGTACGTATGACTGTTGTTGTGAGTTCGGTTGATGCTGTAAGTTAGATTGCTGTTGTTGATGTTGTAAGTTAAGTTGTTGAAAGATAGGTTGTTGTTGCTGCTGTTGCAAGTTAAGTTGTTGTTGGTGTAGCAAAATGGATTGTTGTAAGTTTGATTGTGGTTGTTGTAAGTTTGGTTGTTGTGGTTGTTGTAAGTTAAGATGTTGTGATTGTTGTTGAAAGTTAGTTTGTTGTAAGTTAGGTTGTTTTAGAAAGTTAGGTTGGTTTGGTTGTTGTTGAAAGTTAGGTTGTTGTGGCAAATTAGGTTGTTGTTGTTGTTGAAAACTAGGCTGTTGTAAGTTAGGTTGTTGTGGTTGTTGTAAGTTAGGTTGTTGTGTATGTTGTAGTTGTAAGTTAGGTTGTTGTAGTTGTAAGTAAGGTTGTTGTGGCTGTAATTTTTGATGTTGTGGTTGTACAATAGGTTCCAGTGGTTGCTGTAAATGTTGCGATTGCAATGGTAAATTGAGTTGCGGCTGAACGTTTGTTTGTTGTTTCAAATAAATCTGTTGCATTTGTGATGAGTTTGGCAGTTGTTGAAGTTGTGGTTTGAGTTGTTGTGAAGGAATTGGTTGTTGTAATCTGAATTGCTGAAGCGGTACGTTAAATTGTTGTACGTTAGGTTGTAGTTGCTGTTGTATGTTAGATTGTTGAGGAGTGTTAGGTTGCTGTGAATGGGATTGTTGTGGCATGTAGGGTTGTTGTTGCATGTTATGTTGTTGTTGTAACATAGTAGATTGTTGTTGCATGTTAGGTTGTTGTGGTAACATAGTAGATTGTTGTTGCATGTTAGGTTGTGATAAGTTGGTCTGTTGTGGTACAGTGGGCTGTTGTTGGAAGTAAGGTTGTTGTTGTTTCAAGTATGACGGTTGTAAGTTTGGCTGTTGTGCTTGTAAGCTAAGCTGAGGTTGCATGTTGAAAGATGAAGTGAACTGAACATTATTTAAATTATTTGTAAGCGGTGATGAATTATTTTGGAGTCGGTGAATAGGAGAAGAGACATGACTGCTCGGTAGGGAGTAGGATTGTTGCTGTCTAACATATGGCTGAGATACATCGGGTTGTTGCTGTGGAAATAAAACTTGTTGAGGTGGTTGCTGGACAGCAAATTGTGAAGAGGGAGGCAAAAACGGTTGATGAATTGGATGGTGAAAAGTTGGTTGGTAGGACTGTTGGGAAGATAACGGCTGATGCACTTGTTGAGAATTTTGCAGTTGAAATGACGGTTGCTGAATTAGCTGATTCTGTGGCTGCAACACTTGCAGATTCATATTTAACATTTGAGAAGGTTGTGGTTGTTGATCAAATTGATTGGATTTAAGAAGGGATCCAATGTACCCAGACGATTGAGGCATGGATGTGTGCAAGTTGTTTGGTACTTGTGCTTGCATGAACTGCTGGTAATTCTGCAGGTAGGACGGTAATTGAGATGATACGGATGATTTCAACATTTGTTGAGACAAATCATTTCCAGAGGTTGACAGAGGTGCAGAATTTTTTAGCGCATCTCCAGTCAAGTCAAAAGATGATGTCACTGTCGATTGGGCTTGCGGTAGTGCTTGAAAAGATGTCGGAATTGGTCTAGCAAGGACATTAGATGAATGCATGGCTAATGTTGTTGGTGGGAGTTTGGGAGCACTGCTTGCCGAGGTGGATGTAACTCCAAAAGTAGAAGGCTTCATGAATGGTAGATAATCTTTTAGTTTCAAGGAACCAGTCTGTGGTTGTGGTAGCATCATATTATCCAATGAAAGATTTGTTATGTCACCAGATAAGATGTCATCATCCTCATCGTTTACATCAAAATTCAGGTCTTTACGAGGTGGTAATTTGACCTTTGCCATCGGCTGTGGAGACGAAATTTCTGTTGGCTTGCTAGCTGTCAAACAAAAAAAATATTTTTGACAATTTTTTAAGCTATTTATAAAGTGACAAGCAATTAATAACTTATCAAAATTGAGTAAAATTTAACTAGGAATGCGACGGTTCTGAATTAAGACCAGGAATCATGTCCGTATCGTGGAATAAAGGCAATCCAACGCTGGAAATCCGTTTTCGACAGATTTACAATTAAGTTTGAATTTATAATTTTTTTGAGATAATAAATATTTTGAGTCAAATAAGTTTGAATAGCTGATATTATTGCAAAATATTATCGAATACTGACTACGCTGCTACATCAGCATTATATAATATTTGTAGAGTTTTTCACAGGTATAAAGTTTCACTTAATTAACAACATATTTAAGTTTGAAACCGTGTACACGGGTACAGGATTCAAGTTCCAGTACACATTCAAAATGAGATTCTGATTTACCACGATTTGGATCTGTGTCCTAAATCTCTGAATCAAGATATCAGTCTCATTTCTAATTTTGACTATTGTACAAGATTACAATGCCATTTTAAATCCACCAGACAACATAATTATTTACAACCTCCCCATTAAAAATAAAATTCAGTAAGTACAAAAATTTCTTCAAACAAACATTTTTTAAGTTTCTCCTTTATCTTATTTTCTTTGCTCTGATAACTTTCGGCAAGATTTTGAGCTTTCTTAAGCAGATCTCCAACGTTAGTTCCAATCTTGTTGTAGAACTCAACTCCTTTTTTAGTCTTCATCAACAGATCCTCATAGACGTTATAAGACTTTATAGATCCAGAAACAAATTCATTTTGCCTGATATTGAAATCAAAAATAATTTTATAATAAAATAAACAAAATCTTGAATGAAAAATTAGTGAACAACTTTTTGTAAGCTTCAGTGATTTTCTTCCTGATAGGAGCGTACGTAGCATTGACCTCTGTGAGAGTATGCATGATGTTCGACTGAGCCTGCAGATTCTGCTGTATTATGCTCAACTGCTGGTTGTGCTTGCTTAAATTCTTCTCGAATATTTCCTGCAAGTTGGGAGAAAATGTTTCAAGAATGCCAGCAAACTGGATTATTTTATAATAAAACAAATTTATTCATTAAAATAATTAGAAAATAATATCTGACATCAAAATATTGTTGAAAAGTTTATGATAAAAAAAAACTGATGATAATAACTAAAAAAGCAAATTTACAAAAGACTCATGAGTCTGGTTTCATCAAACAAAGTAATAACAAAATAACAAAAATTAAATTAATTTTATTACAAAAAAAAGCTATCCACAATTATCATTTGAAAGTTAACATGAAAGTGTCAGTTTTAAAATGTATACCACAGTTTGATTATCCTCAGTGGAAGCGGATGTCATGACGAGTTTTTGAGTAATGTCATCTTTTTGCAGCTGCTTTCTCAGTTGCTGAAGCAGACATTTTCGTTGATTCAACATCTCATCAGTCTTTGATAGCAATCTCTTCATTTTATTCATAACCTCAGTATCGGCATCAGCTAAACATGCAAACAAATATGAAAACACAACAATAAAACTATAATTTTTATCGAACTTGAAAAGTAACATACAGTATTACAGAAAAAAGTATTCACAACTTTTAAAAAATTAGAAATTTTAAAGCTTATGAAAAATATTTTAGAGTCAGTAAAAAATAATTCAGACGAATGTGTGGAACGAAAAATGATTAGAAGATAGATTCTGAAAAAAACGATGATAAAAATACAAACAATCATACAAAACGAATATAAACAAATAAACAAATGGCCAAAAAAGAAGAATGCAGGTGATTAAATGTAAGAAAGGGTATAGAATCTCAGACATGAGAAGATTAAATCGTACATGGTTTGTACTGGTGTGATGCAGCGATCTGCATGAGTTCCTCAACAGAGCCACAGAGCAGCTTCAAGTTGGAGATGTGAAATTGCATCAACTTGTGCAGCTCTTCATTGGATTGTGAAGCACCTTTTAGAACATCATTCATCTTCGAACACTCATCTCGAATGACGTTACATTCATTTAATCCATCCAACTTAATTCCATGCTTGTCCTATGAAAATTCATTTGAAATTGAAATTATAAACCTTATCTTCAACAAGATCAAGTTCATTTCAATAATTTAATCTGTAGAAAAAATGTAGGGATAGTAACGTACACTCTCAACGCTTAAAATAAAAACTTTTCATGTTTAAAAATACTGTTTATTATTATCAAAATACGAAATTCATTTCTATAATATTAAAAATGCAATTCTCAGTTAATCGCTAGTTAAACAATTGAATAGTTTTTTTCATGATACAGAATATAAACAGTAATGTTGGACAATTGAAGAAGTAAGTACCAACCAAAATATCCTGAATGCCTTGCTCTACACCATCAACTATTTTGATTGTCGCATTCAAATCACCTTCCACATCGGTTGATCGACTAGACAGCGCTAATTAATCAATATATAATCCATTATATTTGGTTATTTTATTACAAATTAATAATAAAAACAAAATAATATAGAAACGCGAAACATAAAAAACAAGTTAAAGTAATTTTAACAACAAAATGCAGATGTTTACACAAAGAATTGAACATGATAAAGAAAGAAGTACCCATCATGGCATTGGACAGGTCCTTGATGGCATCAGGTCTGACGCTTAGAGAGGCACATTTCTCCAGAAGACTCTCGGGAATGGTGAACGCAGGCGGCGAGATGGAATCAGAAGTCGTCAGTTGCAGGACATTAAGGAAGTTTCTGATGTGGTGAAATAATCATTGTAAGAACATTTAGGAAGTTTCTGATCTGGTGGAAAGATTTAGTTAGCAAGCGACAAACATTCAAAACAAATCAAATTTTCTAACTTACTTCATCTCTTCATCTTTTTCTTCAACTTCCTGACCAATTTTTCTGAGAATTTTCGCTTTTTCTTCACTTTAAAATAAACACAAACAAATACAGCACAGTTCAAATGCAGTACAGTTTCCACAAATATATATATGTATATATAGTCGACCAACCGACATATATATATATATATATATATATATATATATATATATATATATATATATATATATATATATATATAGTCTATGATACAATCGCCAAATAATTATTTTACTGGAGTTAAGAATGAAATAAATAATTGTAATTATGCAAATAATTATAAGTAATTAAGTAATTTATTAGCACGAACCTATACATTGAAGATATTTGATGCACCTTAAATGGTACCAGCTTCATGAATATATCTGCCCCTATATATGATATATCAATATATATGTGTATATATATATGTATATTATTATTAGTATCAAACACTTATAAAGCGCCTATTAAAATAAATATCTCTCACAAGCGCAATCGAAAAAAGAAAAATAATAAACGAACAGTGAAATAATGTACATCCTATCAATAGACGATATGATACAATCAATTACAATCGTTCATCGCAAATAGATAAGTTTTCAAATTCTTTTTGAAATCAACAATGTTCATCTTTGACATTCTCATCGACATTGGCAGACTATTCCAGACGATTGGTCCCGACACTGCAATGTCTCTAGACGATGTCTGCAGCTGCGTAGTTGGTACAATCAACAAATTGACGTCATCTGATCGCATGCGTCTGTCAGTCGAAGACAGCGGCTTCTTTATGAATCTATCAGCCAGGTATTCTGGGAGTTGTCCGTTTATGGCCTTGTACATAATGACGCATATTTTGTAAAAAATTCGTTTCTTCACTGTTAGCCAATGGAGGCTATTCAGAATTGGCGTCACATGATCGTATTTTCTACCTCTAACAATCACCTTTGCAGCTCTGTTCTGAATAGACTGGAGGTCAGCGATAGACCTTTCTGGCAACCCATAAAACAGACTGTTGCAATAATCCAATCTCGAGTGGACAAACGCATGAACCAATGATTGTGTTACAGTTTGATCCAGATATTTTCTTATTCGGTATATTTGTTGAAGTTGTGCTGAACATGATTTAGATTGCGATTTTATGTGGTCCCAAAGTTTTAATTTAGTGTCAAAAATACATCCCAAATTGGTAGCCTTCTTGCAAAATTTTATCTCATTATCTTCAATCATTATTGAATCAATTTTTACTTTTGATAGCTGCCGCCAGGTGCCCACTGGTAAAAACTGTGATTTATTTTGATTAAGTTTTAGACAATTTTTTGACATCCATGTGTCAACTTCAGCCAAACATTTTATTAGTCTTTCAACTGCACTTTCGAACTGATCTGGTTCACTGCTGACTATTATTTGAATGTCGTCTGCATATGCATGATAAGAAAAACCAAAAGTATTAATTACATTAAATACATCAGCTGTATACATATATATATATATATGTATATATATATATATAAATATATATAATGGTTCAGATAAACAATGAACAAACAATGGGTCAAAAGTTAACTATGAATCAGTCAATACATTTAACAGAAAACATTTTAAGGCATAAAAGTTAAATTAGAAACCAATTTAAAATAAAATGAGTTAGACTCCTTAATTAATTCAGGTAATAAATTCCAGAGATGCATTGAAACATTGAGCACATGGATTTAATAAGAAGCTATTTGAACCAAGGTCACCACAATTAAAAATAAGATCAGTTACTCAAAATTTGCTAAATTTTGGTTAGCAGAGAAATAAAAAAGCAACTCAAATAACTTTCAAGATCATGTAGAAAAGTAGAATTGGTGTAATTTGTAAGTTCAAGCCCATGTACCATTTATATGCACAGCAACAAGAGACCATCTTGATAATGGCAGGAGAACATGTATGTAAAAAATAGCATAGGCTAACTTTATAATCGTTAGTAGCGAGTAGTGACTAATGAGGTATAAAATAAATTTGCAGTTCTTTCAAAGTCACTTTGTGATACCCAAGTGGTAAAGATTATATCTGAATTGATGCAATAAAAAAACAAGCATTGTACCTGAGATACCGGGATCATCAACATTCAGGGGAATGCCCTTGACCAGCGAGGCTCCTGTATGAATTTGCGTGTTTGTTGCGTTAGAAAGCTCCAGTCAACAAGAAATCAATTACATTTTTAAATGTTAAAATCCGCGTGATAATTTAACTGAGGCACATCACGTGAACATTTTATTGTAAACAATACTTTGCTGTAACAATACACATACCATCTACAAATAATCACATGCTATTCTACAGTGCAATAATAAATTTTACAAGAATTTTTTTTAAATTAATAAAATATTTTTAATTAATAATAAGTTTTTATTTATCCAACTTGTAGTTAATCCACGCTACCGAATGAATCAAACGTCACAGGAATAATGAATGTGTCAGTTAGTAAAAGGCAATTAAAAGTAACGATTAAAAACTAAAATACACACAGCAACCTTTAATCTCCGAAAGATTTTCTTCATCTGGAACTTTGTCATGGTAGATGAAATCGTTATCTTTTTTTGCAATGTTATATCTGCAGTGAATAACAACGTTTGTTTCTAGTCAAATCACTAAGCAAATTCCGTAGATTAATTGTTGATTAATAAATATTGAATTATTAATAAACGAATGATTAAATTTAAAATCAAAAATAAAAGAAAAAAAGATTTGAGAACAATTTGTGAAACAACTACAAAGTACAGTTTAAGTACAGTTTAACTAAAACTGCAATCAAGAGCATCAATCTAATTTAATATGGTGAAAAAAAAAATAAACATTGAATCTTGAATTACAAACTTTCCGCCAATGACATCGACCATGAACTTCAATGATTCATCCACTGCCTGGTCCTCCAGTTTATTATTTTTCATGAGTTCCTGCAACTTGTCCGTGGAAACCTTCAAATAGGCCAACCTCTGCCCCCACTGGCTTGCCTCCTCAGCTTGCAAGCCAGCATAATAATACGTTATGCAATCGTAAAAACTCAACTTAAGAAGCATTCGCTTTTTCCATTCCTGCAAAATTGAAATTCATTTATTGTTAATTTTGGAAATTAATTTTTTTTAGTTAATTATGAATGTGGTCTGATAAAGTTTTTTGATATATTGATGTTGTAATCAAAAATATAATAAAAAAGAAATAACAGAACATTGGAGAGAACCAATTAACGGCCATACATATAAAAACCAACCTTTGTCTGTTTATTGTTAATCGATGTTGAGTTCACGAAGGCATCCAAATGTTTTATAGCCTGTTTGTAGTAGTCAACAATCTGAGCAGAAACCTTGGCTGTGATTGAGCTTTTTCGATTGTCTGTCATTGATTTCTCTAATATACATTCTTGAGCTTGAGCCTATATGCAATTCATTTATTAAAGTATGTGTTGGTTCCAAAAAAAACTCCAAAAGCTATACAAGTCATATTAAATGGTGTTCCACGTTATTTAAAGCACTAAGATGGTAATAATTTCGATAGAGCACCATTAACAAATATATCATCATTGAATGCAAGCCAAGGTATGACTGAGTTAATATAAGAGAATCATTAAAATTTAATTTCATGTTTTTTTTTACCACATAATGTGATAAATAATTGAAGTTGAACTCTCTGAGGAGCATTGTTCACATTATGTACACCCATGTAGACAGCAATTTATAAAAACCCTCAGACATATAATTATGGTGAAAATCAAAGATTGGTGAAGTTGGAGATGATATAAAGATCTTTATTAAATTAACAAAGTTAATGCAACAACAATCAAGTAAAACACCTCCTAAAATTAATCTACACAACTAATCATAATGAGGATTATTATATAAAGATTCTAATGGTGGAACAAAATATTAACGAACCAACATAACAGTTGCATATGAAGCCAACAAATCTCTGTTGAAATCAGCACTGCCGTAACTTTCAAATTTATCAGCCAGATGTTGATACGCCCATGCCGCGCATTGAAAATGTGTGCATGATACTTTCATTCCCTGGTGATTTTATAACAACTTGATCAGCGTAATAATTAAATAAATATAAAATATAAATAAATAATATATAAATTATAATTTTTAAATGATCTTCAGACAAATTTCAGACAATGATCTTCAGACATTTAGTTGCTTCGTAGTTCTTTGTTTTTAATCGAGTTTATTTAAAATCTGCTTCATAAAACATTCATCTATTTAATAGATTCATTAACTAATCAGTGAAATTATTTGTCATCATTATGTAACAGTTTGAGAAGATGGATGCACAAATTTTTAAACAGTGACATAAAAAAAATGAAAAAATTTTAAAAAAGATACTGATATCTATAAAATTTGACAATAAAAGCAAAAAACCATCAATTAATTACTTCTGGACTCAATCTGTTCTCCATACTCCCAAGTTTAGAATGTAAAGATCCAACATTGAACAAAATGCAAGCCTGTTCATATCTTATATCATTATGTGTGACCTCTCGTCTTGCCATGGAATCTTCCCTAGAAAGACATTTTCAAAAATTAAACTAAACTTTGTAAATTGAACCATACAAAATATAATAAAACACCCAACCAATTATATATGATGTAATATAATATAAAAAAATTTGCTAAAAAATAACACTAGACTTATTTTATAAATAACAATTAATAATTCATTAATATAATTCACTATTTTATAATTAATAATTTCTTTTTTAAATGCATTTTACCATGAGAAGCTAATATTAAATGCATCTCCTCCATCTTTTATGAGGAACCTATTCAGGAGGAACTCGATCTGACAAAAATATTTCTTTAATGAACTGCAGCCAATAAAATCCAGTGAAACTGATGTAGCTTGCTGATAATTTTATTAAAAAATGTTTACTATAATTAAAAAAAAGTAAAAATCACATGACTGACATGGTGATTAAAATTGTTTTAAAATAAAATAAAAAAAAATAAATCAAAATGTTAGACTGCTAATAAATACTCACTTCTCTTAACTTTTCTATTTCCAAACATTCCCTGTTAAATTTTTCAGCATCTTCTAAATAGTTTTCTGATATAAACTTCAGTAAAAATGAATAATTCAAAATTAAAATTTGTCATTTCTTATTATTTGTTGAATTTGACAATTGTGGTATGTATCATCATTATTAATCAAGTCATAACATTAGATATAATTATATGATGATGATATATTAATGACGTCTGATATGAATGATGACATCGAGATACTGATATACAGATAAATAAAGAAAATGAACATTATCATATAATCATATAAAAAAAACTATTGTACACAGTACAATGTACAGTCACAGTCAGGTGATAATTTATAATATATTTATAATTATTATTATTTATTATTATTTATTATTATTAATAAATTATTTGTTAATATCCATAAAGATAATTTCAAAAAATTGTTTTCTACCGATTAAATAATTATATTATTGATTAAATGATAAATTTCAAACTTAAATATAAATTATAAATAAATACAATTAAAAATTAAATTAAAAATTAAAGATTAATAAATATTAATTAATGACAAATTAATATTGCGTTATAAACACAAACTATAAAATTTTCGAAACCAAATTTATGATTTAAACCTAAAATAACGTCTTACGTTTTGGATTGCGGAAGAGAACTCAACATGCTTCGTTGATAATTTGAGATCAAAATTTATCATCGGCAACCTAGGTACGCCTTCCATATTTATTGTTTAAAAGTAAATGTTGTGAAAAAGTGAAATGTTATTGTAATTTCAGTGTAATCTCTTTGGTTGTTTTTTATTTTTCAAACTCCCAGTCCGCAATCCGCTATCTTGCATGCAGAGTTTTAAAAAATACCTGTACTGTACGTGTATGATAAAGCAAGCAGCGAAGTTTAAACTACTTACAAAAACTAGTTTACCGCGGTTAACTCACCGAACTATATGGTTCAGTGGGTTAACTTCAACCATACAAAAATAACTATTAATATTAACTATTTTTAACAGGAGTGGTTACTATTTATTAACTACATACTAGCAGTAAACTAGATTTGATCTAAATATCTATTTGCCGCAGTCTCTTTGCAGCTGTCGTATAATGAAAATTGCACCTATGGTTCATTTTCCAGCCATAAACCCATGCTGGTAGTTTCCAATCGAAAAGTAGGTTAAAAGTCCCTTTTCGATGATTTTTTTCAACAATCTTTAGACCGTGCTCCAGTGATTGGATTCCTCGATAAGATGAACGGTTTAATGAATCGTCTTTGCCTTTACATTAGGGCAGTGTTGTGCTTGAGCTCCATTTTTTGACATCGCCCCACAACTCCAAAACCTACGACTGAGTTGTAGTAGCTTCTTGAAACCAAAATCGCCAGACGCTTTTAAAGCAAAAGTTAATTCATCTGCAGAGACATCCAGGATGTGACCCTCAACTACATCAGCATTAAAATTAACACTGATTGGATTTGTCTCATTCATTATGCCCTGGCAATATGATCTCCATTGGCTTTTGATGCTACCAGTTTCAAGTATCTTTTTTTCATATGTGTTTACAACATTATTCGTTGACTTTCAATAGACTGGTAGGTGGTGTTTCTTCCTACAAAAAGTTGTGTTGGGATCTCATAAACAACGCTAGCACACGAAAATACTACACTTTCTCAATCTTGTGAGAAAAAATTCAACTGAATAGAGAACGGGCAGCAATCAATGAAATATGAACGTTGAGAGACGCGTACAAATGTGTGAAGTGGACTTCTCTTAAATGGGCTGAACTAAATTGGAATTGATGTTGAGTTTTTGCGATTATAGATGTGGCATTAAATTGATAGCTACTTATAACAGCTTCATGTTAGAAATGCGGAATTAACACTTTTGGCCTGAGTTCCTTTATTTTCCAATAAGTTACGTTGAAAATATAATTTTAAATGATAGACGTTTTGGTCACTTTCATGATGAAAATTTCAATTTTAGAGAATTTAAAATCAATATTTAAAATATTTTATTTCAAAAGTCAATATTTTTCATAATCAGCTGAAGGTAGATCTAAATAATTCTTAATTTATAAAAATTAACGTGCAAGAGTACTCACGGAGTTTATTCGAATCAATCATTTTTGGCCGCAATATATACATGCGCTGACTTTCTCGTATTCATTTATCCGTTCGTCAATTCTTTCACGAAAGGATAAACACAAACATGTGGTTGCACAAGCACGTCAGATTTTTTTATTGACATAAAAACCATCAATGATCATTCTAGTAAGGTGGGGTCGTAGATAAAACTCACAATCATAACTTGTAATTTGATTCAATTTGTTTGTTAATTTGGCTCAAAGCTTCGTTTAATTCATTTTTCAATTTCTGATTCTCAGATATTAATTGAGAGGTCACTTTTCTGAAATTCAAAAAAATCGGTCATTTGATAGTGTGAAAAAATAATTAATAAATATACTACAGAACTTGTATGACGTTGATGATGAATCAAGTTTTTCAATGAGAGTCTTGCATTCGTTCTGAAGTTTCAGAACATTGGCTTCATACGTTCTAATATAGCCTTCTAACTCTTTAAGAACATTCTCTAGTAACATTTTTATTATAATCATTTAAATTTCTTTTGTATTATCGCTTTGGTAGCAATACTAATAATAATGGAAACGTTTGAAAACTGACCGTATTTAAATTGAACATTCTTTACAAGATTTGTAAATTCCTTTTCTTTTAATTCCATTTTGTTATTATGAATCACAGCACTTTCCCTTAAGGCATTTTCTAGTTTATTTTTGTCTATGTCACTGTTTTTTACCTAGTACAAAATACATATGGTATGGTAATTTGCGTGAATGTTTAGGGAAACAATAACCTTGTTTGATAGAGTTTGGTTGTATAAATGCAGCTGAATGCATTCATTTTTGCAGCTTAGTAACAGGCTTTCGGCCTCAACTAATCTATTTTTTAATACATTAATTTCTTCTGTAAACTTTAATCTGTCCTTTAAACAATTCAAAAATATAAAATAAATTAATTTTAATAAGTTAGTTATTGACTCAATAGGGGTGGAAAATAAACATAGAATGGCGAATTATTGTGACAAATTAGTATTGGCACCGTTCAATCTTAATGATAAATTTCTCACACTTTTCACTTTGTTCTAGACAATATACAAGAAAGGTTATACCAGAAACCTCAGTTCTAATCGTAATTAACATAAATAACGTATTCAGGTCATAGAAATTTTTGGTTGATTTTATATAGCATCAAGACGATTTCGGTTTTTATTTATGTTTTACTTTGCATCTTCTGGACAAAGTGTTGGATCCAGAATTTTACAGTGAGTTAATAATTTTCCAAAGTAGACAAAAATCTTTTTTCGACTTATTCATATCCATATTTGATTAATGCACCTCCTATTTCTTTTATTCTATTAAAACATGTTAAAATATATAATAGATTGTAATTTTTCAATTTGTTTCTTCAAGATTTGTTCTTCCATGATCTGGTGAAAATAATGCATCCGTACCCGCACCCAGTTGACCCAGCTGTTTGTTTAAATGAATAAGTTCTAAGCCCAAAAAATATGAAACAAAATGTAGATAACGCCGAGGTCATTAATTTAATTTATGATGAATTAGCAAAAATAACGTACCGTATGCCTTATATTTTCTGATTGGCTTAGCTCTATTTTAACTCTTTCCAGTTGAGAATGAAGCATCGATTGATCCATTTTTGAATGGATAATTTTTATTTTCATATCTTCCGTAAACTATAAAACATAAATTATAGTAAAATATTAATAATATTATATACGTATATAATTATTTATGTATTTCTAATAAATAATGATTAATATATGTAAAAATAAATAAAAATAAATAAATAAAAATAAAAAATATATATATAATAGCATTAGGTCGAAAAGATAATGGATGCACAAAAGAAAACAAACTTTAACGTATTCACTGTCATTAATTTGAACACGTTTCGTCAGCATATCTATATCTGATCGCATTTTATTTTTTTCTTTTTCAAGTTTATCATTTAAAAGTTCTTTTTCGTTCAATCTTTCTAGAAAAGACTTGTTCTTCATTGAAAAACGTAAATTTTTTAGGAATTAAAAAATAAAAATTGAGAATAAAAACAAACCATCCTGTCTAATTCATTTAACTTCATTAAATAACTGTTTCCAACATCCTCACATTCCCTAGTTATGCAGTTATCGATGTTTTCTATGAAATTCTTCAAAAGCTTTTGATTCAAAATCAAATCTTCTTGCATTCTTTCTTTCTCTATATAAGCCTAGTACATTTAAAATATCATAAGATCTAATAAATTTTTTTCAAAAATATAGTTTATAAAATAGAACATAAAATTAAAATGGTGATGGAAGTAATAAAGTAATTTCTTCAGTAATAAAGCGTAAATTATTTTCATATAAAAATGAATTTTCAAATTTATACAAAAACCGCGTATATACCTGAGAAATTTCACATTGTGCTTGTTCAATGAGTATGTTGTAAGACTTTAACTTGTCAACTAATGTTTGTTCTTTCAGATTTAATTCGTTTATTTTTAATTTCAAAATTTCAATTTCTTCAAGTAATAAATGCTTCTCTCTGAAATAATAAAAAAATGCCAAAAAAATTGTCAGAAAATATTAAAAAACATGCAAAAATCAGTGTTCCTACACATGTGTTTGTATATAAAAATAATACCAAACAAACTTTGAAACCAAGCTGTCATCTCTCTGGCTCAAATCATCGGCACAATTCATGTACAAACTTTGAGAAAGATCGCCATTGATGGTTCCAACTTTGTTGATTCTTTCCAAAAATTTTATTTTGGTCTTTGATTTTTCCAATTCTTTTTCTAATCCTATTTTCTCTGAACTTTGAAAAAGTAAATATAAATGAAAATCAAAATATTTTATTATTTTATTTCCAAACAATTTTTAAACTTTATAAATATCTGAAAACAAAAGGCCAAACTTTGAATAGGCAAGTTGACTTTCTAATGTTCTTACTTTTCCAATGTATGAATGCAACAAAGCTCTTACCTGGGGATAAAAATTAACTGTATTTAATGTAATTCAAAGATTGGAAGCGCGTATAATCATTTAACAGTCACCTCATTACCACGATTAGAAGGCAGGTTAACATCGGGGAAAGTTTTTTCCTCAGACATTTGTTCGAATTTTAAAGTTGATGAATCATTGTTTAAGTTAACATTCATTTTCTTCATTGAAAAAACAAATATGAAAATAAATTGATTGGTTAAAAATGTAAAATTTAATAGGAGTTTATTTTCATAAATTTAATGAAACAATGCATTATTTATTACAACTTTTTATTACAATTTTCTCTTTAATATTTTTCAGAAGTATCAGCAACAAACAAAATACATGTAAATACACACGAAGCAACGCATCACACACATAGAATAAGATAACTGTAAGAGCAGTAAAGATATTTCACCCTTTGCCAACATAACTACATCATGTTTAAAAAAACTAAATTCTTGGAACATTTAACAAAAATTTCAACAATTATTTCGTAAGATTCGACCGAATAGTTTGATGGTGGAATGTTGGAGCAGTGAATTCGAGTATGGCCACCGTTTCTAGATTTTTTTTTTCAATTTTAGTTTTTTTTCAAAATTTAACGTTGAACCTTATAATATGGTTACAATTTTATCAAATTTTTTTGTCAGATTGGCAACATTTTGAAATTTAATTAAAATTAGATACAAAAGCTTCAAATCCTGTTAGCTTCAAATCCCGTTAGATCATGGTCGACATATATCATTAAATCAAAGGTTTATGAAACATTTACACTTTTATTTTATTGACTCTTATAAAAAAAACTATGTTTCATTTGTTCATAAAAATAAATTGTTATATAGTAATAGAAACGAAATATTTTAAACATGCTGCACCTAAATGAAAAATTACCTGTGTGCGCTGTAACATCTAGAAATTTGTTGTAAAGTTTATGAAAGAATAGCAAAACACAAACACAAACTTTTTTAAATAAATTAATTTGTTCTAAATTTAAAAATAAACTAAAAACGTTATGTAGTTAGTATAATAATTGTTTCTGTGTAATCAGCGTTGAAAGAATATAACAAAAACCTGCGTAGTAGTAGGCCTATCCAGCACTTCATCAACAAGTTTTGCTTTCAAGTCTTCATTTAGTTTGTCATTTTCTGCCATTAAATTACTAATTAAATTCTTAAATTTCAAGTTTTCATCCTAGAAACAAAATTAAGAGAGCTAAAAGAAAAATCAACAAAAAATATAAACCAAATGTGCAACCTTTAAAAATTGTATTTCCTGTTCATTTAAAAAACTTTGTTCCTTTTCTTGGTTTAAGAGCAAAATGATTTCTTCAGAACTTGGTAATTTTGTTTCTGGTAAATTTGGCTCCCCATTGTCTGTATCAGAAGTTTCTTGTGCAAGGATATTTTGTTCATTCTAAATATGTACAATTGTTATTAAAATGAAATATGATATTAACAATTAAACACAAAACATTCAAAACTTTTGTTATAATAACAAAATTTGTTAACAATGAAAAAAAATCTAAATCAGTTTATTAATTATAAAAACCCAACTGATTAAATAAAACTGTGCTAACAAACTGAATATAATGTATAAAGAGTGTATGACTCTTTTCCTATCACTATGCAAACCACACAAAGCAGAAGAAATATTTAAAAAAGACATACACGTTGTACCTCTAAATGGTGATGAAATAAAATGTTCTGGTTAAAATTATCATTTTGGTCATCTTGTTTATAGAGCATCATTTTTAATCGTTGTGCAGCCTTACTGTATGAAGAATCAGAATATATGGGCTTTGGTAATATCATTTCTTTGGATGATTTCGCATCTAAAAAAATCTTATCAAATTCTGAAGAGTCAGATTGTAGCATTTTGTGCAATTCTTTAATTGACTTGGAAGCTTCATCTGTAAATTTTTAATATTTGAAATATAACTAAAAATGAGACAATCAATAAATGCCAAAATTTATTTTTTTATTAATAAACAACATATTTTTAAAATATTAAAAACTAATTTGAAAACTAAAATCCAGCCTCTGATGAAGATATGATTTTTTTCCATGTAGTCAGTTGATGATTTGCTCATATTTGTTTATTTTAAAAAATGAATTTGAATGAATGCGTAGTTTATTTTAAAATTTAAATTAAATTTTTAATCTAATTTTGTTGAGTTTTACTTCTAAAAACTAACAGTCTTTTTCTTTATCATTAATTATTAATAGATTAATTTGCATTATTGAATGAATAATTAATAATAAAATTGCATGTGTTGCCAGTATTGATTATACCACAAAATAAAGGTATAAATATTATATTATATAGCTAACACTAACACGCAGGCATATGTCCGGAGCATTATATTATTTTATTATTATAAATAATTATTTTATAATATATTATGCTATATAAAGAATATATACTAATTATTATATTTATATACTATATATAAATATATATATATATAGCATCTAAATATATATTTTGTAATTTTTTGAAGCTACGAGAATGTCGGCCTTGCAAGACGATGAGCGGTGCTAACGTGAGTCCTAGGTAACACAAGCCATAGAGTATACCAAAGATTAATTTTATTTAATTTTTTTCAAAAATTCAAATTAAAGATTCCTTCTTTAATTCTATTGATAATTAGTATATATTCACTCTCCTTTGAAGAAGGACCTTGTTAATTTTTGATCTCATTTGCCATTCATCCTTTCACCAACCTATTTACTTAACTCAAATATTTCAAGGTGAAAAACTATTTAAAAATGTTTGTGCATGGGTTGGTTGGTTGATTGATTGATTGATTGATTGCTTGATTGATTGATTGATTGATTGAACTTATTTGAAAAAGTGTATTGAATAGATTATAATTTCTGCAATCTGTTAGTATGTGTTGAATTATTAGTATAGTTTTACATTGATCACAAATTGGTGGTGGTAGTATTTGTATATCTGTTGAAGTTAGTGTGGCATTTTTAATTGAAGATTGTTTTGTTTATTGTTTACTTTCTGCAATTACTGCTTTTTCTGGTTGTTCATTCATAATTTACATTACAAATTGAGAAAAATTACAGTAAATCAAAAGTTAGCTACGTCTACTTATTTTTAAACAATGTGAAATTTAAGGTATCAATGAATTTTATTTAAAAAATAAAAAAGAAATGGAAATCGTTGAATCTTAGTACCATATCAATTGATGATCTTCTAATTTTGCCAGGAGCCGTTGAGAAAAGTAGCGTACACCTTTCTTGGTTTTTTTCTACAGGTAAAAATAAAATGATTTTGGAAATCGAAAATGAAGGTAGACGCCATCGGCCTCAATGGTCCCTTATGACATTAAATGGATCATTGATTACAAACAGTTCTTTACATTTATATTTGATAATGCTAATTTTAATTTGTAATCTGAGTTTATTATGAAATGTATGTAAATTTCGATTTATTGTTGATCGCTTCCGATTTTTTTCTATCATGCCCTAGTTGCATCATACTGTTTTTTTCTTACATTTTAATACTCAGGATTATTTAGCATTTTTGCATTGTATTGTCTAATAAGTAGGTAATATTGATATCATTTATTTATCACAATAATTAATAAAAATTAATTCACAAGAGTTAACCAGTGAGTTCTACAATTGTTCTTCTTGGTTCTGTTTTCAACTTTAGTTAATTTTAGTGATGATTTTAAAATTAACGTGCCTTTTACTGTGTGCCAGTTCAGGTTATATCTTTTTATTAATTTCTAATAAAATATCGTTAGAAATTGTTTTATTTGTTATTTTTTGCCAGGATACACAGTTTATTTAAAATGGCTTAATAATCCAAGTTATTCTTGCGCCTGCCGAAATTATCTCTGGTTCAGGAACAAAGTTATTCTGGCTGATTATATGATTTTCGATAATTTATATGTCACCTTCTTCAATCATTTTAATGACAACCTTTTTAAAATTGATGATGGATTAGAAAGTTTATTAATATTTTTCATCAATTGGCAACGTTCCGGAACCTACTCTCACCAGTTTTCTTGTTTTCCAAATTCAACATTTGATTTTATGACGCTTAATTTGCAGCATGCTAAACATTGTTAGAAACTTTTCGAACTTAATCGACACTCAAAATAATTTGCTTTTTGAAACTTTATTAAATTTTCCACTTTTAGCTACTGATTACAAACTAAATTTTGATGTGCAAGCCGTTGCAGGCGAAGATTTTGAAATAATTTTGCCACAATTCAAGCAAAAAAAATTTGAATTACTGCAGTACTTAAGCAATTCAAAAACATTTGCTTCCTCTCAGTTAGATAAACATACATCAATTGTTGAAGACAGTTCTATTGCAATAAATAAAGAATTTATCTCACCATTTATCTTAAAATTCCGAAAAGTTTTTTTGAGAAATAATGGTTCAATTCATTTTTGGTTCTCAGCGGCGAATAGTGCATCTTTGTCTTTAATTCTGCAACTGTCGATTCTAAGAATACCAGGTAATTTAAATTTCATTACAAAATAGTATTTCTCTGTTAAAGTAACAATAGTTTTTGCAAGATGAAATTGCATTTTAAATACTGGCCAAAATTTACAAAATTTCTAGATATAGACATAAATGTTAAGTAAGTGAGGTGTTTGGACAAAAAATGTTTTGAGAAATTATTGATAGGAATGTTTTATATAAAATGACTAGATAGTTTAGCCATCAATGTTGATATACATAAATGAAAATAGGCTGTTTTGGAAAAAAGACTGAACTTTTTTAATATTGATACCGTTTTTAGTTTTATGTTTTATTGTTCATTTCACTTAGGTAAAATAATAATATAATATATTACCATCCAAATTTGAATTGTTCTGTTTATTATAAATAAAAAGGTCATAAAGTACGGCCGGTTTATAGAAAAAAATATTTGATTGCATTCAATAAGAAATCATTTCTACGTTTAATTAAATTTGATCTAATAATATTTACAGATTTTATTTATTTGAAAACAAATTCAAAAAAGAAATTATGCTTTGAATCGAAAATATATGTTCCCTGGAGTTTACATCGTGCACTTAAACATGTCTTAGAAACTTCCAATGTCGAACGTGCCCATTTTAATATGAAATTTTTGAGTTCACGACAAATATTTAACACGTACGACAATCCCGAATCTTTCAAAAGAATGAGTTTTAAGTTTAATACATTTCCATTTCTTACGGAGCTTTCATTTACAAGTAGTTAACACTGTTTTGATAAGTTGTATTTTAAAAGTTTAGGTACTTCGAAATTTGTTTTGAAATTATTTGAATAATATTCTCAATCCAGGTTTCCTTAGTTCCATTTTTGGTGAGGCCATGTTAAATTTGACACACGTTGGATTATACGAATTAGAATTTACTTGGAAAGTAAAAAATGGACCTTCATTTTTCACGAATCCGATGTTTTTCATTTTGTCAAAATTTAGTATTGAGCACATTCACGAATTCGTGGGTAATAATTGATATTTTTAATAATTTTTATGATTTACACTATCTTTTTCAAATTTTAACAAACAATGCCAGAATTACATTACATTGGTCCCTTTTTTCAAAGTAAGAAGAAGTTGTGTCAGTCACTTACTGAACACCCAGAATGCATCATAATCCACAGAAGAAATTTGCATCATCTCATTTTTGAATTTAAATTTCGTATGCCGTACATGTCTTGTCTGTATCATGATACAAATAACTTCACCATACATGTTTGTATTGTTTTTTATTAATTATAATTTATTAATCCCTGTGCTTGTGCTAAATATTTCACAAAAATAAGTCATGGTTCTCGTATTATTAATATTTTAAGCGGGTTTCAAAGTTGATTGCTGACATAAAAGTTTAAAGCGGGTTGCTGACATAAAAGTTTGAATTAATCAATTAATAATCAATAATATTTTTCAACTGTTGCAATCTTAATGGTGTGTGAGTTAAAATAAAATAGTACAAATATGGTATATTATTTATTTGTTCTTTTTTAACGGCGTTTCAGCTACCATAATAAAGTGCGATGGCATGCCTCGTCGAAATCGACATTACCTTTTTGTTCAGACTTTGGATATAATTTTAGTCATTTTGCGATTATACAAAGTGTGCTATTATATTAAACTGTCAACTGGCATTCCATTCTACAAATATGTCCAAAATTTCCAACTTTCTTGCTCTAACATTTTTGTTTTTGCATAGCCTGCTGTTTTGTTTTTGAAAATAGTTTCATATGACCACGTTTCTCGCCTTCTGTCTTCAGAAGACTTGCAATAATTTTCTGTAACACTCCTTTTCAAATCTTTTTAATCACTCTTTTTGATTGTCCGAGTTTTGCATGCATATAATCTGTGAAGAAAAAACACAAGACTCTTTTATGTTCAATTTTGTTTTAATGTTAAATCAACTGATTTCAAATGTTTTTTAAGCCTCTTTTGTTTTTCACAAGGTGTTTGTATTTTTTTAAGTTGTATGATAAAAAAAATGTAAGAAAATTGTTTAAGAGTTTGAGTTGAAAATTTGTCATCAACATTATAGCACAAGTACACAAGAAAGTACAAATAGGAAGGAATTTTTCATTTGATTAAACTAAAGAATGATTTTCACTAAAACTAAATTGATCACGATCTAGGTAACCTTCAATGAAACAGAAATAATCAAGTTTCATATAACCTTTGCTGCCATCGGTTTTCCTTACACTGAAAAAACTAAGGCTTTTAATAAAACGTTTGTAAACGTAACCATGCACAATGAAACCCATCTATTTGATTGCCTGACGTACAGAATGGTAATTCATTTTCGCGAAAATAACCTAACCAATAACCTAAAAGGCCTTCTCTCTGTAATGATAAATTTGATTGACTCAAGTTATAACTATCTTAGTCACAAAATTAAATCTCTCTATATATATTCGACCGACTTAGGAATTGGTAAGTTTACGAGTGAATATCGAAGTAGTATTATATTTTCATTATTAAACTGACAGGTAACTACCGAATGATGTACAAAGATCTCCTGAAAAGTCTTACGATATCAAGAAGAGGAAGCAATATTGGCAGCAAAAATATATCCATGTCAGCGAATTCAAAATTGGAAAATATTAAAATCACTATTCGAATTACTCCAATCATTTCATTTGCAGTCGTGTTCAAGTAAAAATAATTTTATTGAAATTTAATACTACCCTTTAGATTATAACTAAAAAAAAACTCAAATCCTAAAATGTTGAATAAGACTCGATATCATAAAAGAAACCCGAATGTTGGCAAATAGCAGCACGTGAAATGCGAAATATTTTTCGCTAAATCAGTATCATATTTTAAGTGCCCAATGCCATGATCAAATGGTCAATTTGAGAATCACCATTAGGATTATTACAAACTGAGGTTAAACGTCTAAGAAAATTCTAGCACACATGAAAGTTATCTAAAAAATTAAACGGTTGAAATGATCTATATGGGTGATCTATATTAATGGCCACATCATCGTATTCTAGGCAGTGTCCTACTAATTTGTATTTTATAATAAAAAAATTGCAGGTTTGCCCACGAAGAATCACGAATGGAAAGTGGTGCCTTGTGCCGGATATGTTATGCAGAATACTGTTCGTGTGATGTCGATTTGAGCACTGTTTTTCAATTTTTAAAATTGAATATACCTGACTTTAGTAAGCAGAAACATGTTACAGTTAGATTCGGCTGCTATGTGATGCTCAGCCACTCAACCATTACACATTTCGTGACGAAACCTGTTGTATTAAATTTTTTTGATGACGATACATAAATATGAATTCAGTTGGGTAACACGAAACAGTTATCTTCGTTTATTATCTGGAAACACACACACACACGCACACACACACACACACACACATATATATATATATATATATATATATGTGTGTATATATTGATATATTGTGTATATATATATATATATATATATATATATTGATATATATATATATAAGTGTGTGTGCGTGCATGAAAGGAGACCATATTTTGTTTTATATATATATTGTATGAATTTTACCGAATTGTTGACTTATATCTATTTTAAGCATTTTTTAATTTTCAATTTTCCTTACTAGAATTACTACATTCTGGTAAGGAAAATTGAAAAGACAATCTTTAAATTTAGTTATGCCTACAATTCGGTAGAATTCATACAACACTGTATAAAACATGGTCTCCTTCCAACACACACACACACACACACACACATATATATATATATATAATATATATATATATATATATATATATTATATATATATATATATATGTATGTACATAAAAACATTCGTTAATGAAACATATTATCTGAAAAATGATTAATCATTATAATGTAACCACACTCATACATAAACACACAGACATACATATATTTACATATATATATATATATATATATAATTTATATATGGTTGTAATGATATATACTATATATGGTCGTACGATATCCAAGATTTAAAATTAAATTTTTCAAAAAAATAAATATTGTAGCAAACAAATCTGAAACATGCTATTTTAAAAAATTTATCAACTCACAAAATAAAATTAATAGACTAGATATAATTCCAAAAGCAAATGGTTAAATTCAAGTAATTTTTTAATATTGAACAGGTTTAAGAATTCATTATCAAAAAAAGAATGGATAACAAAATAATCGGTTAAAAAATAGCTCATTGTCTGGCTTGTTGTTCGTCGTTAACAGCGAGATAAGATAAAAGACAACCTTAACAATTTATGCCAGGTTGTCTGATAATATTGTTCAAATGATTTAAATTAAAGCCATGAATAAGCGCGCGTGCACCCTACACGCACGTATGTACCTACATGTATTATATATAATTATTATTTGATTGTGTTAGTGTAAAATTAATATTAGCGCTAATGTATGGCCAAGTGCCGACTCAATTAGCGTACAGAGTTCAGTGAGGTTTCGCATAATTTAATCACAAACAAGAAATAAAATAATGAACCAAACAATTAATTAACTCAAATGAATATAACTCATTATTAAACATAAATCGGCAAATATTAACTCGGCGTCAACCTTTTAGCGATCAAGAGTTTCAATTGTTAATACTTAGTTTATTTTAATTAGAGCGAAGCCCGCATGAAGTTTGCTCGAATATGTTTGCAAGCACGTTGATTGAAACTGCCATCATATAGAGAAAGAACTTCATCAAAACATAATGCTGCTGTATAACATTTTATTGTTTCACGGTTAAAAAAAATTTGGCGACAGCGATAATTTGAAAAAAGAAAGAAAAAAAATTTTAGTATGTAAACAAAATTGGGTAAAATATTTTTCCAAAATGGCAATACCGAATACGATGTGTATGTAATTATATGATTATTTATGATTATTTTTACAGAAATCTTTGAAACCCAAATAAAATAGCATCAAATATGTAATATTTAAAAAAATTATATATATACATATATGTATGTGTGTGTATGTGTGATAAAGCAGCAAACATAAAAACACATCGCCAGCAACTGTTTTGAAATTTGGCACAATATCAGCTACAGAGAACGTGCAGACCATTCCATGGCAGGACAATTACAACTCGCAGCAAACTAGCAAAGCAAGAACTAAATGAATTTACCAACGTACTATGCAATGTTACCTGTGTTCCAATCAGCATATGCCCTCTACGGTCAACAAAATTCCCTGAAAACAGTTCTTACAACTAATAACAACAATAATAAAAATAACAACAATAATAATAATAATACTAACAATAACATTGATGATAATGTGCATCATGAAGATGCCTCATCCACGCCTATTTACAAACATTCTCTGAATATATGGTCAAAAAAAACAATGAAATATTTACATATTAACAGAATATCTTACACTTGTAACCAAACATTATATATATATATATATATATATTTTAGAGGATTAGTCATCGTAGGGGGTATATAATTTATATATATATATATATAAATATATATATAATTTTATGTACTTTCTTTCAATTCGTGTAAGTAGTAATATGAATTAAATAAAGAAAAAAAATCACAATAACGTACTAAATAGAACTGAATATTCATGAACATTCCACTTGACGTCTTACAATTATTTTCTCAGTAAAAAAAAAGTTCACAAAACATTACACCAATTAGTTTTTTCTGTCAATTTATTATCCTGTTGAAGAGAATTACGATAAAATTGTAAATTTAAAGATGACGATGTAATAGAAAATTTTTATTGTAACGGTACGCCAAAAGAGGAAACTATGAAATTTGCTCAACGTCACACAGGCAATGAACAATTTGAAAGCTGTCAACCAAAAATCTCTTTCAGTAGTTGCAACCAACGCAGTTAAATACAACTTAGATTATTAATGAATTAGTATGGTAAAATTATAATAAAATATACATGTAGGATATATCTATATATATTTTATTATCAAACAAATATTTACAAAATATTTATTATTGTATGATATACAAAGTTTTAATAAAAAAAAAAATGTTGCTTAAATTAAATATCACTCAAAATTTTCAGGCATCGATAAAATTTTTACTTCTGAAAACTCTGCTGTGGAAAAAGTTTGATAACGAATTTAAACCAATAACTTTTCTCACACTGAATCGTAAGATAAATGTAGTTGAGGCAAAAATTCATTCATTGATACATGTCAATTACAACTCATAACTTTAACGATTGAACAGTTGATATGGTAAACTAAAAAAAAATAAAAAAAACTGTGTAGCATCGTGACGTTCCTATGTACAATATTATACACGCAAATCCATATATATATATATATATTCATATATATATATATATTATGGAGTGTATATATATATATATATATATATATATATGGTATGAGAGCAATTATATTTCACGGAAACATTGTAATGTATCAACACAAAAGATACTTAAAATACACACACAACAAGATATTTAATTGAAGCAAAATTTCAAGTAGTGACTGAAATTTAGGAAAATAAAAAAATCTATCATTCTAAAAAATAATTCAATTATATTGATGTCCAATTGACAATGGTCTACATTTTCTTAAGATTTAACGAGTTATTAAAAAAAGATCATGGCAAATTATATGTTTAATAAAACTGATAATTTGTTATTTAAATTAAATAATCATTTTCAACCTATTTAAGAAATTTATTTACACATTTATTATACATATATATAAACGTCTTTATTTGCATACGTATATATAAACGTATATATATATATATATATATATATTATTATACGATTTTTGTACATATATTGTGAGAACAATAACGGAAAAAGTTAATGTTAAGATAGTGATTTAGCGAACTTCTACTTCCCATTCCATCTGATTGCAATGTCTATCTCGCTCAGCCTCAAGTCACAGCAGCATATTTCGGAGATCCGTCGCCATCAACAAATTAGTAATATCACAGAATGACAACTATTTGATTAAGCAATTCAAATTTTTGTAAAATAATATCAATAAATACAACATGCAAACGCTCAATAAAGATCATGTTGTGTACTTCCATACCAAAAGTGTCAAACATTTTATGCTGAGCCGTACAATTTAGTCTTATTCAATGAACCTATTTTGTATTGTGAAATTTGAAGAAAAACATGCTTCCATCTGCCCATAATGAATGTAACATGATTAAAACTCCAGGCCATACAACAACATTAATAAGGATGGACTCCAAAGAGAAAGAACAATCCTGAATTTAGTTAGGTGTTCAGCTAATGAAGACAATGCAATTGAACTGTTATGTATCAACAAAACCATTAACAATATTATATTATACCAAAAAGTTGGCAACACACACATATAACACATACATATTTTTACATGCATATATATATATGGTCGTAATAATATATATATATATATATATATATATATATATGTATATATATATATATATATATATATGTATATATATATATATATATATATATATTATTACCACATGGTCATATAAATATATGTGCATGCATGTAAGTATGTATGTATAATCTCAATGTATTGATGTTTAAAAAATTAACTTTGAACAAAATGTTAACCAACAACTTACAACCTTTTAACGACATGTTTTTCAGTCAGCTAATTTAAATATATATATACATATATATTTACATTTAAGGTTATATATTTTAGTACATAAACACATATTATACACACACATATATATATATATATATATATATATATATATATATATATATATATATATACACATATATATTTATATGTACAGTTAGCAATGAACTTAATGAACAAATGATAATGAGCAATGGACAGCCACGAGATGAACAGTTTCGTGCTTTGCATCATTTAAAAAACATTCCGCATATCATAAACACCTTCATTTGATTTTTGACAGTTAATTTTGTTTGGAGATATTCCACAAAATATGAACAACTTGCTATGCAGCAAATGTACAGTTTCTTGATTTTCTATTCAATGTCAGATCAAAAACATATCCTTAAATTGAAATTCTATAATAAGCCATGCACAATTTTCATCTACACTCTGGACAAACTTCACAGTAAGGACATAGAGATGCATCCTTATTAGCCATGTTGTTGTAGTCGCAGCTGTAGATAGTGTAGTAGTGATGTGGCTGTTCCAGGCCTGGAAGACTGAAGGGCCCATAGAACACCTGGTCAACGATAAGATTTGTTTTCTTTTGGTCAATCATAAGAAGGTTTTTTTGTGGTCTTTCCTGCTTTGGTTGATACTGTTTGGCATATGCTATCTGTTCTTGTTCTATTCGTATATGGTAAGCCATCTGACTTATAAGATCAAGTGTCTGACGTCTTTCGTGGCCCATTAGGCATATTGTACTTTCATCTACAACCGCATACAAAGTCATTAAATAATCAAATTTAAGATACTCTTCATCTGTAAAATGGTCAGCTAAATAGTTTTCGAGTTTAATTTTTTGATCTGAAATGTTAGAAAAATCAATAAAAAACATTGAACACATATACTTTTTCAACAAACGAATGTCTATGTCTTCTGTTGGTT